ATCAAATATTTTAAATGTTATATTGTTTGCAGATGACTCCAACCTTTTTTATTCCAACAAAGATATAAAAGCTCTCTTTAATATATTTAATGAAGAACTATTCAAAATAAACGATTGGTTTACAAGCAATAGGCTTTCGTTAAATGTAGAAAGCACTAAATTTATTTTATTTTCCAAACCTAGTAAAGGTGATGATGTTCCTCTAAAATTACCCAATCTCCTAATCAATAAAACATTTATTAAAATGGAACCAATCGTTAATTTCTTAGGAGTAATAATAGATGAAAATTTGTCATAGAAACCACATATAAAATATATAGAAAATAAAATATCATTGCTCCAAAAACTAATTCAAAACTAAATTCTTACAAAATCCAACACCGCGGACCGTTTCTATGGAAACATTTTTCAAATTTTATCACAAAAAATAATAATGTTCATCACATCTCTTTGGAAAAATTTAGAAAAGAATCTAAGAATCTCTTATTACAAAAAGACTTTGATTTAAAATATCTCTTTTAAAAATAATACACAAATAATATAAATTATCTAAAAAAATAGTTATTGACATTACTTCTCTTTTTGTTGCAATTTTAATCTAATTTAATTTTTTGTTGAAAAATTTTAATGCTTTTAAATTAGTGTTAACTCAAAATTGTAATGAAGGACTAAATAATATTATCTGGTCTCGAAGTCCTTAAAATATTTATGTAAAGACAGATGTTCTTGAAATGGGAGTAAACTCAGCTTTCTTTCAATGAAGGTTCATTTGGTATTTATTGTGTATTTAAACATTTAAATCTAGACTTTGGAAAAAATACAATAACTAGTTCAATAAAAAAAGACCAAAAGCGGTTAGAGAATATGGTGAATAAAGGACAACCACAAAAAAAAAAAAGAAAAAAAGAAAAGAGTTGAGAGGAAATAAAGGTTGGGTTGATAAAGATCAAATACAGTTATTTAAATATATCTACGAGTTGAGAGTAAGAAAGGTTGGGTTGATAAAGATCAAATACAGTTATTTAAATATATCTACAAAAAAGGATATTTTTTTACTTATTTGCCCTTTATCTAAAAATGAAGATTTTAACATAATTTATGAACTCAAAACACGATATCTCAACATTAAAAAATGCCTAGATCTCCAAATTTTCCTCAATTGTTCAATACATATATATGTAGAGAATGAACCAGAGTTTTGATAATTGAATGATTATTTATTGATTGCTTTATTTATTGAAGTCTTTTTTGAACCTTACCCCCTAGAAATTAGTCAATTTTCAGTTTTTTTGGACTTGAAAGAAATATTTTTGCTTTTAAATTATGATCTTAGTTCATCCTCTTCCTCATATATCAGAAAATAAAATTGCAAAGTACCAAGTTATTTTAAGTTATTTGCAAAGTACCAAGTTATTTTAAGTTATTTGCAAAGTACCAAGTTATTTTAAGTTATTTGCAAAGTACCAAGTTATTTTAAGTTATTTGCAAAGTACCAAGTTATTTTAAGTTATTTGCAAAGTACCAAGTTATTTTAAGTTATTTGCAAAGTACCAAGTTATTTTAATTAGCCATTCTGGAATCGTGTTTTAAAAACTAAAGTAAAATATGCTTTTTTGAGCTTTTTTTAATGAAAAAATCCTCTTTTTTTTTAATTAAATAAACTCATATTTTTTTATTATTTTCATTATATTAAATTTATAAAACTGATTTTAGAATTGATTTAAGTTATTTTTCTAAAAAAAAAACATTTCCTGTGAACCCACCTTAATTTTCTTCTTTTTCCTGATGATACTAATGTTTCTTTTTCGGGGTCTAATTTAAATTTTTTTTTTCTACTGTAAACACAGAGCTAATTAATCTCAATTAATGGTTTAAAGCCAATAAACTGTCCGTAAACATTGATAAAACTAAACACATTCTGTTCACAAAACCTTCGAAAACTCATAACATACCCCTAAAACTTCCTGATTTATTTATAAACAACATTATAGTAAAAAGAGTTCATTCAATGTATGAGTTCAATGTATGTATTCAATGTAAGAGTTCATTCAATGATATAATATTTGACGATCATTTAACTGGAAAAATCATATCCAATTAGTGGAAAACAGCGTTTTAAAAGCTCTTGGGATCCTTTTCGAAACGAAACACCTATTGAATATAATGCGCTTAAAAAGCTTGTATTTTTCATTTATTCATAGTCACATTAGTTATTGCAATATAGCGTGAACAAGTAATTATTCATCTTCTTAAAAAAAATTAGTACCAAAAAAAAAGCAAGCGAGCCGGTTAATTTTGAATGCAGGTAAATATGCATGCACCGAGCCTTTACTTAAAAAAACTAATGTTTTAAATATTTATAAACTAAACATCTATCAAAACCTGTTATTTATGCTTCCAACATATTTTCAGCCTCGTTTCACCTTAATTAATTATAAATACTCTACAAGACATTCCATTGGCAACTTTCTCATCCCTACAACATCCCTTAAAAAAACAGACTTCTCAATTACATGAGACATAAAAAACATGACTTCAATTGAACTATTTTAAAAGAAAAATTAAACGATACTTATTAGATTTAACTCTTTTAGGCCCAAGGTATGACAATTACCTGCATTTTAAAAATCTTCTTAAGATTTTATATACTATAGGCACTAATAGCATAAAATGATAAATTTTTCCTTGGCCCTCGTTTTAGTTGCAATGGAAACTATAATGGGACAGATATGTCCCGACAGGCTAAATGGAACTAATATATCTATGTGTGTATATATATATATATATATATATATATATATATATATATATATATATATATATATATATATATATATATATATATATATATATATATATATATATATATATATATATATATATATATATATATATATATATTTACACTTGAGCTGCATTTAGGTAGACTGTCTGGGTAGGTGGATAGTATAACTGGGTAGCTAAATCAGGTTCAGTGAGTGGTGTAAGGTGATATTATTGGGTGTAAGGTGATATTAAATGGGTACCTTTTTGGTGAAAACCATTTTAGCGGCATGTAGAATTCCTTACCCCGGTAAAATAATTATAAAAAAAATATTTCTATATAAATCAAATAACTTTGTATGTTACATATGATACTCTCTAAAACAATTTTTTTTAACATTTATGCATAAATAAACTTTGCATGTGCTGCACTTGAAGAAAGGCTGTGCTTCAATTTTATTTTTAGAGCGTACTTCACATCTTCCACGACTAGAACTATGCTCTGATCAATGGATGCCAAGATTTTCCTTCCGAATTGATACTGGAATAGAAAAATTTGATTTTCTTCTTTTGTTAGTAGACAACTGACATGATCGATTTGATGAAATTGGTCGCCCAATTTTTGGGGGTTTACCTAATGTTACTAATGATTGTGCCACTAATCTTCAAAAATTGAGAAAACTAATATTATTATAAAAATTTTAATAAAAATCACAATATTTTTTAATCTTGACATGTTTCGTAGTCTTACTACATTTTCAAAAGATTTAACTTACAATTAAAACTCTGGTAAATAAATTTAAAAACTGAAGACAATACAGAGAAAAAATTAACGAACAAATAAACTTGTTACAAACCAATTAAAAATTATATTACAAATTATGACAAAATGAACTTCCTAATATTAAAATACTATTAATAGCAATAATAATAATAATAATAATAATAATAATAATAATAATAATAATAATAATAATAATAATATAGTAAGTTAGATAGATAAATTTATAATATAATGAGATGTTTGTTTATTTAAAGAAGGATTTTCTCATTTAATATGAAGTGCTTCTTTTATTTTTAATTTGTTAATGGTAGAGGCAGTATCCAAAATCTGAAAGCAATCATAATTAGTTTATATTTTACAATTAATGGATGAATTTAAATGTTTAAAAATATGCGATTGCTTGTCACTCGTAAGATGCTCATTTATCCTTGTTGTCAAATGTCTGGAGGTTTCTCCAATATAACTGGCATTACAGCCAGCACAAGAAAATTTGTTGACAACGTTAGATTTAAGCATCTTAGGAAGTGGATCTTTTATGCAAAAACTGTTTTTTAATTTATCGGTTGGGAATATAAATTTGATTATTACATTTTTACAATACTTTTTAATAATTTTATCAATTTTAGTTTTTGTGAAATTTGAGTAAAATCCAATAAATGGAAGCTTAAAATATCTTATATTAGTATTATCAACAGTATTTATAACAGATGGATTAATTTTCTTTTCAACATATAATTTAATTTCAGTGTCGATAACTTTTTGTGGAAATTGATTATTTTTTAAAACTAAAGAAAGATTTTTTATAATCCTTATCAAATCCAAACCACGTGTCGTTAATTTTACATGTTCGATCAATCAAGCAACGTATAAGACCAGTTTTGTAACATGAAGGGACAAAACTAAAGAAATTTTGTAAAAGACCCGTGTATGTTTATTGAGATGTTTAACGAGTTTATTGAGATGTTAAACGTCTTGTTTATTGAGATGTTTAACGAGTTCTTGCGCTTCAAACTCTGAATTAAAAATTGCTATTATGTCATCCACATAACGTTTATAAAAAATTGGTATGGAGGATGAGCAATTATTAACCCACGTTTGTTCATGAAAACCGATGAACATATTAGCTAAAATTGGCGCTAAAGGAGAACCCATTGCAACGCCATCTAATTGACCTGTATTGTCTTCAGTTTTTAAATTTATTTACCAGAGTTTTAATTGTAAATTAAATCTTTTGAAAATGTAGTAAGACTACGAAACATGTCAAGAATAAAAAATATTGTGATTTTTATTATAATTTTTACAAATTTATTGCTAATGCGATGTTCGAATAATATTATTATCTTTTAATTTCTTGTAGACAACATTGCAAACAGTCCTATCAATTAGGCCAAAAAGAATGCGGTGCCACCACTTTAGAGATTTTCTGGATGTGCCATAAAGAGAACAAAGCATATCAGTTTTGTTGACACCCCTTCCCCCCTATATAAGTGTTATAGCCTTTTACCGCCTGAGAACATGAGATCATCACAATACTGCCGTCTTTATTATTTCGTTTGATCTCTGTTTTTTCAGTGCCATGAAAGTTTGATATGACATGCACTGGTCTATTATCCATCCACTTATAAACTACAATGTTATCTTTAGAAACTCTGTAATCAAAGTCCCCCCTCTTTAAATTTTTATCTTTACATAAATTTTTAGGCAGATACTTTCTATAGATACGCAAAGTTCCACAACACATAACATGATGTGAGAATAAATACTCCAAGAGAGGAACAGATGTGAAGTAGTTCTCAATGTAAACTTCGTAATATTTTCCTTGTAAAGATTTTGTCATTTGATAAACAACATTTTCACCTAATCCAAAATACTTTGGTATTGTATGATCAGTACATTTATTGTTCTTTCCTTTATATATTTCAAATTTAAAAAGATATCCATCAATATCAGCCATCGACCAAAGCTTGTATCCTCTTTTAATTGATTTCTTAGGGTTATATTGTTTTAAAGAGCTACGACCTTTAAAAAGTATCAT